CACGTCCTTTGAAAAATATTCTTTAAAAAATCCACGTCCTTTAAAAAAAATCTTTAAAAACTCCACGTCCTTTGAAAAAGATATTCTTTAAAAACTACACGTCCTTTGGTCCTTTGAAAAAATATTCTTTAAAAACTCCACGTCCTTTGGTCCTTTTAAAACTCCACGTCATTTGGTCCTTTGAAAAAAATATTCTTTAAAAACTCCACGTCCTTTGGTACTTTGAAAAAATATTCTTTAAAAACTCCACGTCCTTTGGTACTTTGAAAAAATATTCTTTAAAGAATCAGCATCCTTTGAAAAATAATCTTTAAATAATTAACCTTTGATCCCTGCGAAAATAATCCTTAGAAATCTACGTTTGATCCTGGAAAAGCTATTTTTTAGAAATCTATGCTTAATCCTCGAGAAATATTCTTCAGAAATTCACATTTGATTGTTGAGAAAATAGTCTCTAGTAATCCACTTTTGATCCTTGAGAAACCTGTTTTTATAAATCCTTGTTTGATCCGTGAGAAAGTGTTCCTATGAATCCACCTTTAAATCTTGAAAAAATTGTCTATAATGCTTAAAAAATCTTCAAAAATATACATTTAGTCCTTGAGAGAATAACCTTAAAAATACACCTTTGGCTAAAGAAAATGGTCCTTAAAAATCCAAGTTTGATCGTTCAGAATATATTCTTCAAAAATCCCTGTTCTTGTCCTTGAGACCCATGTACCCGAAAAAATAATCTCAAAATTCATGTTTGATCTTTGAGAACCCTGTCTCTCAAAATCCCTATATTTGTTTGTAGAGAAATTTGTCTTAAAAGATCCAAGTCCATTAGAAAAATCTTTTAGGATATATTCTTAAAAATTCTATTTAAACCTTCCGAAAATATGTTTAATCCTTCGAAAAGTATTCTTAAAAATTTATGTAAAATTCCACACATGATCCTTTGAAAAAAACACATCCTGCAGGTAGTGTCCCCCTTAAGCCATTGCATCCATTCATTCTCACTTTCCCACTTCAATTCCAATCACTTCATATTGCTGCACATGGTTTTCAATTGTTCTGTTCGCCATAACCATATTGCAAACTGGACTCCATGCAGTGTCATGGCAGGAAGTTAAAGTTTTTCACACGCTCTCTCTCTCGCTCCCTCTATTATCCTTGCCATTGTTTTTCATTGTCATTTCGGAGTGGCAACAAAACGTTTATTTATTTCGAGAGCATCATTGATTGCATTGTGTACAATGGGTAATGATTTTGAAATTATACATTTGACGGGAGTGAGATTGAAAAGGACCTGAGTGAGATTGGAAAGTCGAAAGGAGTTTTCCGTTGGCTTTGATTTTAAATTTACAAAGAAATTAAACAGGATGTCAGGATATTTCTTAAAGATAAAGTAATTACGTTAATGGGCTACAAGAGGGGATACAATGACAAAGGTCTATGGGTGGAGGGAAGAAATTTTAAATCCCAGAGTTTCTAAGTCCGAAATTTTGTGAAAAAATTCGAAAATTCTCTTAAAAAAATGATGTTGTCCTGCATGCATTGTAGCACCATCTCTATACATCCTTTTGTAAAATTTTTCGTTCACCTCCGCAGATACAAAATATCTTTTTTAAATTTTTATTGATTGATTGATATTTTTATAATATATACTTGCGGTTCTTTGTTTCTAACAACCCAATTCAGGATGGAAAATTTGAGCTTGCAAAGCATTATTATTTCATACGTCACGAAGTCTAATTACTATTGTCTGGACGAGCTGTGATGTCATAATGACTATTAAAATTAAATTTAGCACGAGCTTAATTAGACTGAGGTAGTCGAAATTATCATTTGATGCCCTACGTTAGATCTGAATTTCTGAATTCGTTGCTACTGGTATTGGCCAGGGCCAGGCTTCTCTCTGTGCGTCTGTTGACATTGATTTTTTAAAGAATATTTTTTCAAAGAACCAAAGGACGTGGATTTTTTAAAGCATTTTTTTTCATAGGACCAAAGGACGTGGATTTTTTTAAAGCATTTTTATTTCATAGGACCAAAGGACGTGGATTTTTTTAAAGATTTTTTTTATAGGACCAAAGGACGTGGATTTTTTTAAATTTTTTTTCTTGGACCAAATGACGTGGATTTTTTTTAGATTTCTTTTTCATGGGACCAAAGGACGTTAATTTTTTTTAATATTTTTTTTATAGGACCAAAGGACGTGGATTTTTTATAAAATATTTTTCCAAAGGACCAAATGACGTGGATTTTTTATAAAACATTTTTTCGAAGGACCAAATGACGTGGATTTTTTATAAAATATATTTCCGAGGACCAAATGACGTGGATTTTTTAAAGAATATTTATTCAAAGGACGTGGATTTTTTAAGATTTTTTTTGTAGGACCAAAGGACCTGGATTTTTTTAAAGAATTTTTTTTTATAGGATCAAAGGACCAGGATTTTTTTAAAGAATTTTTTTTTATAGGACCAAAGGACCTGGATTTTTTTAAAGATTTTTTTTTCATAGGACCAAGGGACGTGAATTTTTTTTATATTTTTTTCATAGGACCAAAGGATGTGGATTTTTTATAAGATATTTTTCGAAGGACCAAAGGACGTTGATTTTTTAAAGATTTATTTCATAGGACCAAAGGACGTGGATTTTTTAAAGAATATTTATTCAAAGAACGTGGATTTTTTAAAGAATATTTATTCAAAGATCGTGGATTTTTTAAAAGATTTGTTTTTTTTTTCATAGGACCAAAGGACGTGGATTTTTTTAAAGATTTTTTTTCATAGGATCAAAGGACGTGGATTTTTTTAAAGAATTTTTTTTTCATAGGACCAAAGGACGTGGATATTTATAAAAAAATTTAACCGAAGGACCAAAGGACGTGGATTTTTTAAATATTTATTCAAAGGACGTGGATTTTTTAAATATTTATTCAAAGGACGTGGATTTTTTTAAAGAATTTTTTTTTCATAGGACCAAAGGACGTGTATTTATTTAAAGAATTTTTTTTTTTCATAGGACCAAAGGACGTTTATTTATTTAAATAATTTTTTTCATAGGACCAAAGGACGTGGATATTTATAAAATATTTTTCCGAAGGACCAAAGGACGTGGATATTTATACAATATTTTACCGAAGGACCAAAGGACGTGGATATTTATAAAATATTTTACCGAAGGACCAAAGGACGTGGATATTTATAAAATATTTTACCGAAGGACCAAAGGACGTGGATTTTTTAAATATTTATTCAAAGGACGTTGATTTTTTTAAAGAATTTTTTTTTCATAGGACCAAAGGACGTGTATTTATTTAAAGAATTTTTTTTCATAGGACCAAAGGACGTGGATTTTTTTAAAGAATTTTTTTTCATAGGACCAAAGGACGTGGATTTTTTTAAAGAATTTTTTTTCATAGGACCAAAGGACGTGGATTTTTTATAAAATATTTTTTCGAAGACCAAAGGACGTGGATTTTTTATAAAATATTTTTGCGAAGGACCAAATGACGTGGATTTTTTAAAAAAAAATTTCATAGGACCGAAGGACGTGGATTTTTAAAAAAAAAATTTCATAGGACCGAAGGACGTGGATTTTAAAAATAATTTTTTTTCGTAGGACCGAAGGACGTGGATTTTAAAAAAAAAAAATCATAGGACCGAAGGACGTGGATTTTTAAAAAAAAAATTTCATAGGACCGAAGGACGTGGATTTTAAAAATAATTTTTTTTCGTAGGACCGAAGGACGTGGATTTAAAAAAAAAAATCATAGGACCGAAGGACGTGGATTATAATTTTTTTTTTCATAGGACCGAAGGACGTGGATTTAAAAAAATTTTTTTTTCATAGGACCAAAGTACGTGGATTTAATTTTTTTTTTTTTCATAGGACCGAAGGACGTGGATTTTTAAAAACAAACAATTTTCATAGGACCGAAGGACGTGGATTTTTTAAAACAAAAAATTTTCATAGGACCGAAGGACGTGGATTTTAAAAACAAAAAATTTTCATAGGACCGAAGGACGTGGATTTTAAAAATAATTTTTTTTCATAGGACCGAAGGACGTGGATTTTAAAAATACATTTTTTTCATAGGACCGAAGGACGTGGATTTTAAAAAAAAAAATTTCATAGGACCGAAGGACGTGGATTTTAAAAATTAATTTTTTCATAAGAACGAATGACGTGGATTTTTAAAAAAAAAAATTCATAGGACCGAAGGACGTGGATTTAAAAAAAAAATTTCATAAAACCGAAGGACCATAAAAATGGCTATTAAAGTTAAATTAAAATTAAAGTTAAATTATGACGGTCTCGAGAGACCTTAATACGTAGTCGGTTACAGGAATATTCAAAGCTACCAGAAACCTTAATAAGTACTCAAGCAGTCTACAGAAATATTCAAAGCGAGATTGCGAGAGACCTAATAAGTACCCAAGCAGGCTACAGAAATATTCAAAGCGAGATTGCGAGAGACCTAAAGAAGTACTCAAAACTACAAGGATATCTAAAGGTACAGTTTCGAGAGACCTTAATAAGTACTCAGAAGATACCTTAATAATTACTTAGGCAGACTACAAGGATAATAAAAGGACACACAGGACTTACAAATGGTGTCGAATGATATGCGTTTAATTGAATTTCGGTATGGAAAAGCTCCAAGGGTCGTACGGAGATAAACTTTGAGGCAATATAGAGTTGAAAAGTGCGAGGAGAATCCAGAGACGAACCACAACAGACAAGACAAAGACCGAATCAATATGGTTGACAGCCTGATTTCACCCTACCAAATGATGTCACGCCTTGACTCGCTAATTACCTGCTAATGGTTGGAAAATTCGTTGGCGTATAAAAAGCAGCCACAACAAATATCATCTAGTCAATAATTTGATTCACATTAGAAAATTGAAGTTAGTGAAGAATTTTGTAACGGGACCTTTTCCAAAGCAATGACTTTTTGTTGCTACATATTTATCTGGGGAATACTTATACTGGTGATTCATCTAATGTTGAATGAAGCGGCCAGACAAAAGGTGGGTCGAGATAACTTATCCAAATTTAATTTTAAATTTTTCGTTTTTTTCCCTTTAGGCCAGAACTCTATTATTTCAAGATGTTCAAATAACTTTCAACAAAGATTACTTGAAGGATTATCGCATAGAACTGACCAAAGATCGCCAAGGTTTCGATTGTGAGATCATATTAATTAAAAATATTACCCAGCCTATGTGGACTAAGATAACGATTGAAATGCGATTAAAAAAGGACAATCGTTACAAATCGATATTCAGTTATGAATTCAATGTTTGTGATTTTCTCGGTTTCACCGGAAGCAGCAGTTCCACGAATATGATCATTTTGTGGATACAAAATATTCTCAAGTACAGTAAGCTGCCGAAGTCGTGTCCGATATTGACGGTATGTAAATAAATTATAAGATGCGAATTTTTCCTTTGAAATTTTAATTTTTTCTATTTTGCGAATTTATTGTGCTTTCCTGTTTGTAGGGCACCTATGGCTGGGATCATTTCAAGGTGGAAAGGAACAGCATACCCTCATTTGCCATGACTGGTATATACCGCATAAATGTTACAAATTATCTGAAAACGAACAGCGGCCGACTACCAATGAGCGATACAACATTAAGGGCGGCCATTCGATTCAAAACTTTTTAATGAGGAATTCAGAAAATGCCGGATTGGATACATGATCTGTGGAAATGTTTAATAAATACCTACCTGTGTTGGCTCTTCTTCATAAATGATCTCCAAATACATTGGTCTTTAGTGTCATCTCTCCAGAAATTTATACGAGATCTGATAATACAATACCTGTTATTTTATTTTTTCCACAATGTGAGATTTGGTCCATAGAGTCCCAGGGTTTGAAACCGTTTTTTTGATAATTCAGGTTTGGACCGCATCACGCATCAAATGATATATACCCTCTGTAGCCATATAGCTGATGGCATAAAAATCGAAGGAATTTTGGGTTACTTGCCGGATGAAAAAATGGACAAAAAATTTTGTACAAAATCCAGGTCGTCCTTTGAAAAAATATAGTATACAAAATCCAAGTCGTCCCTTGAAAAAATATTGTTTAAAAAATGCAGGTCGTCCTTTGAAAAAATGTTGTTTAAAAATCCACGTCCTTTGAAAAAAAAAATCTTTAAAAAATCCACGTCCTTTGAAAAAATATTCTCTAACAAATCCACTTCCTTTGAAAAAAATATTCTCTAACAAATCCACTTCCTTTGAAAAAAATATTCTTTAAAAATCCACGTCCTTTGATCCTTTGAAAGATATTCTTTAAAAAATCCAGGTCCTTTGAAAAAAATATTCTCTAACAAATCCACTTCCTTTGAAAAAAATATTCTTTAAAAATCCACGTCCTTTGATCCTTTGAAAAATATTCTTTAAAAAATCCAGGTCCTTTGAAAAAAATATTCTTTAAAAAATCCACGTCCTTTGAAAAAAATATTCTTTAAAAATCCACGTCCTTTGAAAAAAATATTCTTTAAAAAATCCAGGTCTATTGTCTATTGAAAAGTATTCTTTAAAAAATCCACGTCCTTTGTTCCTTTGAAAAAGTATTCTTTAAAAAATCCACGTCCTTTGTTCCTTTGAAAAAGTATTCTTTAAAAATTCCACGTCCTTTGGTCCTTTGACAAAAATATTCTTTAAAAATTCCACGTCCTTTGGTCCTTTGACAAAAATATTCTTTAAAAAATACACGTCCTTTGGTCCTTTGAAAAAAATATTCTTTAAAAAATCCACGTCCTTTGGTCTATTGAAAAAATATTCTTTAAAAATTCCACGTCCTTTGGTCCTTTGACAAAAATATTCTTTAAAAAATACACGTCCTTTGGTCCTTTGAAAAAAATATTCTTTAAAAAATCCACGTCCTTTGGTCTATTGAAAAAATATTCTTTAAAAAATCCACGTCCTTTGGTCCTTTTTCAAAAATATTCTTTAAAAAATACACGTCCTTTGGTCCTTTGAAAAAAATATTCTTTAAAAAATCCACGTCCTTTGGTCTATTGAAAAAATATTCTTTAAAAAATCCACGTCCTTTGGTCTATTGAAAAAAATATTCTTTAAAAAATCCACGTCCTTTGGTCCTTTGAAAAAAATATTCTTTAAAAAATCCACGTCCTTTGGTCTATTGAAAAAATATTCTTTAAAAAATCCACGTCCTTTGGTCTATTGAAAAAAATATTATTTAAAAAATCCACGTCCCTTGGTCCTTTGAAAAAAAATATTCTTTAAAAAATCAACGTCCCTTGGTCCTTTGAAAAAATTATTCTTTAAAAAATCCACGTCCTTTGGTCTATTGAAAAAATATTCTTTAAAAAATCCACGTCCTATGGTCCTTTGAAAAAATTATTCTTTAAAAAATCCACGTCCTTTGCTCCTTTGAAAAAAAAATATTCTTTAAAAAATCCACGTCCTTTGGTCCATTGAAAAAAAATATTATTTAAAAAACACACGTCGTTTGGTCCTTAAAAAATATTCTTTTAAAAACACACGTCGTTTGGTCCTTTGAAAAAAATATTCTTTAATAAATCCACGTCCTTTGGCCCTTTGAAAATATATTTTTTTTTAAAATTCAAATAATCCACATTTGATCCTTGAGAAAATAGTCTTTAGAAATCCACATTTGATTCCCGAGAAAATAGTCTCTAGTGATCCACGTTTGATCCTTCAGAAACCATTTTTAAATCCATATTTGATCCTTGAGAAGATAGTCTTTAGAAGTCCACATTTAAATCTTGAGAAAATTGCCTTTAATACTTAAAAAAATTTTTAAAAATATACATTTAGTCCTTGAGAGAATAGTCTTTAAAAATACACGTTTGGCTTGAGAAAATGGTCCTTAAAAATCCAAGTTTGATCAGAATACATTCCAGTCCAAAATCCAGTTTTTTGTCCCTTAGAAACCATGAAAAATAATATCAAAATTTCATGCTTGATCTTTGAGAATCCCGACTTTAAAAATCTCTAGATTAGTTCCTTGAGAAAATTGTCTTAAAAATCCACGTCCTTAAAAAAATCCTTTAGAAAATATTCATAAAAATTCCATCAAATCCTTCCGAAAATATGTTTGATCCCTCGAAAAATATTCTCAAAAATATTTGTAAACGACCACATTTGATACTCTTAAAAAAAAATCGTCCAGGTAGTGTGCCCCTTAATCCGTTGCATCCTTTCATTCTCACTTTCCAACTTCAATTCCAATCACTTCATGTTGCTGCACATGGTTTTCAATTGTTCTGTTCGCCATAACCATATTGCAAACTCAACTCCATGGAGTGTCATGGCAGGAAGTTAAAGTTTTCCACACGCTCTCTTTCGCTCTCCCTTCCTCCCTACCCTCCCTCTATTATCCCTACCATTGTTTTTCATTGTCATTTGGAGTGGCAACAAAACGCTTATTTATTTCGAGAGCATCATTGATTGCATTGTGTGCAATGGGTAAAGATTTTGAAATCATACATTTGACGGGGAGGTAACCAAGGACCTGAGTGAGATTGGAAAGTCAAAAAGAGTTTTCCGTAGGCTTTGATTTAAAATTTACAAAGAAATTAAACAGGATGTCAGGATATTTCTTAAAAATAAAGTAATTACTTTAAAGGGGATACAAGGACAAAAGTCTATGGGTGTAGGGAAGAAATTTTAAATCCCAGAGTTTCTGAGCCCGATGGAGAGAAAAAATTGGAGTTGAAGAAATTTTGTGAAAAAAATCGATCTGAAATATTAAGACTTGACCTTAAGAAAATAAAAACTGAAGATCTCCCTAAAGTCATGGCTTCATTGTAGCACTATCTTTAAACTTCCCTTCGTAATGTTTCCCGCTTACCTCCGTAGACCCTAAATTCCCGCAATTTTTTTTTTGTTACTGATTCACTGATTGATTTTTTGTTGTTTCTAACAACCCAATTCAGGATGGAAAATTTTTGCTTGCAAAGCTTAATTATTTTATACGTCACGAAATCTAATTCTTCTTGTCTCGACGAGCTGTGATGTCATAATGACTATTAAAATTAAATTTAGCACGAGCTGAATTAGACTATGGAAATCGAAACGACCGTTTGATAGCCTACGTTAGATCTAAATTGTTTGCATCAAGCTTTTTTGAAACGGAGGTTCAAGCATTAATGGAGTTGAAAATCACGAACTAACGCCACCTAGTTGTGATATTGTTATAACCTTCCAGCCACATTACAGATATGAGGTACTTGTCGATTAGGGGAATTATTCTCTTATGTAAATGAGCTTTATGGGAATTGATAATGCTACAGATAAAACTCGTATAAAATGGAGTTGAATGTTAGGAAATAGCGCCATCTAGGTGTGGTATTGATATATCCCCTCCATTAACGTCACAGCTAGGTGTCATTATTCATTTAGGGGAATTGTTCTCTTTTACAAATAACCATATTTGAATTTAAATGTGCAGCAAATAAAACGCGTATAAAAATGCTATCTTGCTCTACAATCAGCTCAAGCGAAACTAACTAACGCCATCTTGTTGTAGTGTACCGACTAGAACTGAAAGAATGTAAAAGTTTTTACTACGATAGCCGATTTTCTATCTATGATATCGAAGAAAATTGCAAAACTAGCAGATTCTTGCAGGTATTGGAACAGAGCATTAATTATCCTACACGTCAGATAACTCTTGTCAATTAAAAAAAAAAAAAAAAAAAAAAAAAAAACGCCATCTAGTTGTGATATTGGAAATCACTGAAGAAGGTCTCAAATAGATGGCGTTGCTTATCAAGAGCATTACTTCTCTCATGGAAATGCTCCTGGAAAATTATGATAAAAAATAACTCTTAAATGTGTGTTATTTGAAGCTTTTAACGACTTAGATTTGTAATTTTTGAGCTTGGGATAGCTCAGCGGGATCCAGAGGTTCGTAGAGAAAATTTTAGAATTTCGCTGAGTGAGATAGACTAGTGTCATCGCTTGTTCAATTAATCGGGCTTTAGCCAATGACATAGAGATTTTGTGCAACCAACTTCAGACTGCTGTCATTTCTAAGCCGCTCGTCCGACACCTGTTAAAATTATTCCAGTGGCAGCTCATTATATTGTTTACAAGCGCCGAAAAGCATTTTGGTGAGACTTTTCCAGAAAAAAAAAATTATTCATGATGGAATTCAAGCGTGATAGTGTGAGTTCTTAATAATTGGCTGAAAACCCACAAGGGGCTACCGTAAGAGCTCTCCAGCATTTAAATGTCAATAAATCTTTTGTGTCTCGTACCATCGCCCGTTACCGTGATACTGGTAGCATAGCCCACCTACGTCAAGGAAGTGGACGGAAATGGAACCGCAACATCAGCAGAAATGGTTCGAAAAGTAAAGAAACGACTTGATCGAAACCCGCGTCGCAGTGGCCGAAAAATGGCTTGTAAGCTGAACATATTGCAATATTCCATTCGGCGAAATTTTGAAAAATAAGCTCGGGGTAAAGCCATTGAAATTCGAAAATTCCAAAAAGTGAAAAACTTACACCGCAGCGGAAAGAAAATGGACTGACTCAATAGAGCTAAAGAGTTGCTTCGCTTTGCCGAAAGTGGTGAACTGCCGAATTTGGGTTTCTCCGTCTTCGATGAGAAAATATTCGTTGTCCAGAAGTTTGTAGACAAACAAAATGATCGTGTTTACTTGCCAAAGAGGTCAGCTGAAAATGTGCACCTTCGGTTGGCCACCAGACCAGAACTCAAGCGATGGCCATGGTGACGCTGTGGGCCGCCGTAACAGCCGATGGTCGCTCTCCACTCGTATTAATCGACCTTGGCATCAGAATAAAGGCCGATTATTCCCGCGAAAGTATTCTGGAGGGTGAATTAAAGCCTTGGGCATGCAAACATTTTGGCCGCAGACCTTAGACATTCCAACAGGACTCAGCACCATCGCACTCAGCACGCGGCACCCAAGAATGGCTACAAAATAAGGTTCCTCGCTTCATTTCCAGCGCACAGTGGCCACAAAAATCTCCGGATACCAATCCGTGGGACTATTGTGTCTGGAATATTTTGGAAAGCAAGGTTGGCACTAAAAAATACCAAAGTGTCGATCACCTCAAGCAGGAGCTTCGCCGGCAATGGGCCAAAATACCGCAGAACAACATTCGGGCAGCGTGTGTTGGTTTCATTGGCCATTTGAAGGCCATAATTCGTGCCAAAGGTGATCAATTCGAACAAATCTAAACTTATTCTAAAATTTGAAGCTATTTCCGATATTTTTTTTTTCCATTCAAGAATATTTAAAAATTATGGCGTTTGGCTTTGTTGCAGTTTTTTTGATCTCACCCTGCGTATTCGAAGTTCCTTTATTTACTATGAGGTAAAGGAACATTAATTGGTCCACTAAGTCTCATGACCCGCCGTCCACAGGATTTTAGATGGACACACTGGGATTCGTCTAGTTAAGTGATCTGGCAAATTGCTCGTAGTGTAAAGACTTCAAGTCTTCCTGCCGGGTGTTTGAGACCTGGATAAGTATTCTTAAGTTTTCCAAGAATTTGTAGAGGGAAATACAAGAATATTCAAGGCTATAGTAGTACTCAAGATGACTACAAGGATATTCCAAGGTACGGTTGCGAGAGACCTTTAAAAGTACTAAAGCAGATTACAAGGATGCGGCTGCGAGAGACCTCAATTAATACTCAAACACACTATAAGGATATTCAAAGGTACGATTTCGAGAGACCTTAATACATACTCAGTTACAGGAATATTCAAAGCTACGCTTGCGAAGGACCTTAACGGGTACTCAAGTATATTACATGGATATTCAAGACTACGATTGCCAGAAACCTTAATAAGTATTCAAGCAGACTACAAGGGGTTTCAAAAGTACGTTTGTGGGAGACTTTAGTAAGTACTGAAGCAGCTTACGACGATATCCAAGTTTGCGATTGCGACAGACCTTAATAAGTACTCAAGCAGTATACAAAGTTATTCAAGGGTACGGTTGTGAGAGACCTTAATAAGTATTTATGGAGGCTACAAGAATTTTCAAGGGTACGGTTGCTGGAGACCTTAATTAGTACTCAAGCAGTCTACAAGGATATTCAAGGCTACGATTGCGAGAGACCTTAAGAAGTACTCAAACAGACTACAAGGATATCCAAGGCTAAGATTGCGAGAGACCTTAATAAGTATTTATGCAGACTACAAGGATATTCAAGGGTACGATTGCTGGAGACCTTAATAAGTACTCAAGCAGAATACAAGATTATTCAAGGATACGGCTGCGAGAGACCTTAATAAGTATTTATGGAGGCTACAAGAATTTTCAAGGGCACGGTTGCTGGAGACCTTAATAAGTATTTATGGAGGCTACAAGAATTTTCAAGGGTACGGTTGCTGGAGACCTTAATAAGTACTCAAGCAGTCTACAAGGATATTCAAGGATACGATTGCAAGAGACCTTTATAAATACTCAAGCAGACTACAAGGTTATTCAAAGCAACGATTGCAAGAAACCTTAATAAGTACTTAGCAGACTACAAGGATATTCGTGGATACTGTTGCGAGAGATCTCAATAAGTACTTAAGCAGTCTGCAAGGATATTTAAGGATAATAAAATGACACACAGGGCTTACAAGGGATGTCGAAGGACATGCGTTTACGGGAATTTCGTTATCAAGAGAGCCGAAGGGTCTTATAAAAAAAAAAACGCCGTGAGGGCTGTTGCGAACAAAAACTTTGTGACAACATAAAATCGAGAAGTACCAGGATATTCCAGAGGCGAACCTCAACATACAATACATGTTGCCATGTTTGAAAATTGCTGATAGCTGATTTCACCCTATCAAATGATGTCACGCCTTGGCTTGCTAATTACCTCCTAATGGCAATTAGCGCTCACTTACAGTGGCGTATAAAAAGCAGCCCGAAAAAATATCAGCCGTCAGTAATTTGATTCGCATTAGAAAATCGAAGTTAGTGCACAATTTTGAAACGGGAAATTTTCCAAAATAATGACTTGCTGTTGCTACATATTTATCTGGGGAATACTTATACTGGTGATTCATCTAATGCTGAATGAAGCGGCCAGGCAAAAGGTGGGTCGAGATAACTTATCCAAATTTAATTTTTAATTTTTCGTTTTTTTTTTTCGTTTAGGCCAGAACCCTGATATTTGAAGATGTGCAACTAACCTACAACAAGGATTACTTTAAGGATTATCGCTTGGAACTGACCAAAGATCGCCAAGCTTTGAATTGTGAGATGATATTAGTTAAAAATGTTACCCAGCCTGTGTGGACTAAGTTGACGATTGAAATGCAATCGAAAAAGGACAATAGTTACAGATCGTTATTCAGTTATGAATTCAATATGTGTGATATTCTCGGTTTTACCGGAAGCAGCAGTTCCACGAACATATTTATTTTGTGGCTACAAAATTTTCTCAAGTACAGTAAGCTGCCGAAATCGTGTCCGATTATGACGGTATGTAAATAATTTATAAGATATTGGATTTTTCCTTTGAAAATTGCAATTTGTTTCCCTTTTTGCGAATTTATTGGGTTTTCCTATTTCTAGGGCACCTATGGCTGGGATCATTTCAAGGTGGAAAGGAACAGCATACCCCCATTTGCCATGACTGGTACATATCGCATAAATGTTACAAAATATTTGAAAACGAACAGCGGCCCAGTACAAATGAGCGATACAAAATTGAGGGTGGCCCTTCGATTGAAAAACATTTGAGATTTTATGAGGAATTCAGAAAAATCTAAGTTGGATAGATGATCCGAAAAAAATATTTAATAAATACCTGCCTATGTTGGCTCTGTTTCATAAATGATCTCCAAAAAACATTGGTCTTTAGTGTCATCTCTCCAGTAAGTTCTACGAGGTCTGATAATAAAATTCCGGTTATTTTAATTTTTCCACAAAGTATTATATTATATGTCGATGCCGTGAAAAAAATCCGCCTTAGATATAAACCACTTATGCCAGAATTTGTACACCCTCCACCATACTATGGAGGGTATATTAACTTTGTCATTCCGTTCGTAACTCCTCGAAATACTCATGTCAGACCCAACAAGGTATATATATTCTTGATCAGCGTAAAATTCTATGTCGATTTAGCCATGTCCGTCGGTCTGTCTGTCCGTCTGTCTGTCCGTCTGTCTGTCCGTCTGTTGTTATCACGCTATCTTTCGAACAAATTGAGATAGACGGCTAAAATTTTGCACACATGTTTATATTTCTAGTAGGCAGGTTAAGTTCGTAAATGGACCATGTAGGTCCACGTTTTCATATAGCCCCCATATAATGGTACCTCCCGATATTCGGTATTTTGATGATTTTTGCGGCATTATTCACCGGAATTGTTTCAACTTTGGTATTTCAGGTTCGTAATGGATATTACAGCCTATGACAGAAAATTGTCTGTGCAGGTCGACGTCTTCGTATAGCCCCCATATAACGGTACCTCCCAAAATTCGGTATTTTGATTATTTTTGCGGCATTATTCACCGGAATTGTTTCAAATTTGGTATTTGAGGTTCGTAATGGATATTACAGCCTATGACAGAAAATTGTCTGTGCAGGTTCACGTCTTCGTATAGCCCCCATATAACGGTAAATCCCAAAAGTCGGTATGTTTTAATGATTTTAGCGCCATTATTCACCGGAATTGTTTCAAAATTGGTATTTTAAGTTCGTTATGGGAACTACAGTCTGTGACAGAAAATTGTCTGTGCGGGTCCAGGTCTTCGTATAGGCCCCATATATCAGTACCTCCCTATATTCGGTATTTTGACGATTTTAGGTACAATACCCACCGAAATTGTTTGAGATGTGGTATTTGAAGTTCGTAATGGATGCTACAGCCTGTGACAGAAAATTGTCTATGCTGGTCCAGGTCTTCGCACAGCTCCGATATAATGTTACCTCCCTATATACGATATTTTGATGATTTTAGCTACATTATTCACCGTTTATTTCAAGTTTCGAATTTGAATACGGCAATGGCTAATGACAAACAATGCCTATGTAGGTCGACGTCGTATAGACCCCAATATAACGACAATATTCGGTATTTTTAAAATTTAACAAAATTTTTTAAGGATTTTATTTTTTTTTTAATTTCCAAATTCGTTGCAAATGGTGGAGGGTATTTAAAGTTCGGCCCGGCCGAACTTACTGCTTTTTAACTTATTTTCTAATCGATTTTTGCTCAAAATTAACAATTTTGGAACAATTTTCGATGTTGCTGTTGTTTCCAGGGTCGCCATAAGGACCCACTAAACCTTACGGAATAAACAGTTTATTTTCTCCCACGTGGGACCAAAATTGAGATTTTATTTATATGAGTGACTTATACTACAAATGAAATGCGATGGGTTGACAGACCGGGAGATGTGTGCCATAATACAGTCGTTGGTTGCTAGTGGCGGCCGTCGGTGATGATGGGGTGTGTTGAGGTTTAGATTTTGCGATGAGGTTCGTGAATACGGTTGATGACCGGGAACGACGATGCAATGATGTTCGGGAACTCGGTTGATGATCGGGAACGACGATGTGATGATGTTCGGGAATTCGATTGATGATCGGAAACGACGATGCGATGATTTTCGGGAATTCGGTTGACGCAGTTATTAATACTACTTCTACGTGCTACAATTACCAACTACTCCGTAATCATACACACAGGGAATTAAACCGAGGTATCTGTGTGGGACAGAAAGCCGAAGCTTCCGTGTGATATAGGAATCCGAAGACTCTGAGTGGGACGGAAAGCCGAGGCCTCAGTGTGCTACAGGAAACCGAAGTCTCTGTGGGGAACGGAAATCTTCGTGAGGTACAGGAAATCGAAGTCTCTGAGTGGGACGGAAAGGCGAGGCCTCCGTGTGGTACAGGAAACCGAAGTCTCTGTGTTTGGACGGAAAGCCAAGGCCTCTGTGTGATACAGAAAACCGAAGTCTCTGTGGGGAAGAGTGGCCAATATTGCCTATTTTGTATGGGATATAAATAAATATGATATAAATATTGCGAGGTACCAGGATTAGACTACGGACTACATTCCTCACTTTATATGAATTATGTGAAAATTTTAGAAAATAATCTTTAGATCCCACAAAGTGAGATAAAAAACTGCGACAAAGTCAAACGCCATAATTTTTACATTTTCTTTCAAATTTTTTTGAATGAAAGCAAAAAATGTCGGACATATCATCAAATTTTAGAATAAGTTTAGATTTGTTCGAATTGGTCACCTTTGGCACGAATTATGGCCTTCAACCGGCCAATGAAAGCGTCACACGCTGCTCGAATGTTGCTCTGCTCTGCGATATTTTGGTCTATTCCCGGCGAAGCACTTGCTTGAGGTGATCGACAGTTTGGTAGTTTTTAGTGCCAATCTTGCTTTCAAAAATACTCCAGACACAATAGTCCAACGGATTGGTAGCCGGAGATTTTGGAGGCCATTGTACACCGGAAATGAAGCGAGAAACCTCATTTTGTAACCATTCTTGGGTGGCACGTGCTAGGTGCGATGGTGCTGAGTCCTTTTGGAATGTCCAAGGTCTGGGGCCAAAATGTTTGCGTGATTTTTACGTTTTTTTTAGTTTTATTGAATGAAAGCAACAAGTGTCGGATATATCATCAAATTTTAGAATAAGTTTAGATTTGTTCGAATTCGTCACCTTTGGCACGAATTATGGCCTTCAAACGGCCAATGAAACCGTCGAAACGCTGCTCGAATGTTGCTCTGCGGTATTTTGGTCCATTCCCGGCGAAGCGTTTGCTTGAGGTGATCAACACTTTGGTAGTTTTTAATGCCAATCTTGCTTTCCAAAATACTCCAGACACAATAGTCCAACGGATTGGTAGCCGGAGATTTTGGTGACCATTGTGCACTGGAAATGAAGCGAGAAACCTTATTTTGTAACCATTATTGGGTGGCGCGTGCTGAGAGCGATGTGGTGCTGAGTCCTGTTGGGAATGTCCAAGGTCTGGGGCCAAAATGTTTGCTTTGCGTGCCCAAGGCTTTAATACACCCTCTAGAATATTTTTGCGATAATATTCGGTATTTATTCTGATGCCACGGTCGATTAATACGAGCGGTGGGCGGCCATCGGCTGTTGTGGCGGCCCACACCATCACCATGGCAGGCGCCTCAGTTCTTGTGGCCATCCGAAGGTGCACATTTTTAGCTGACCTCTTTGGTAAGTAAACACGATCATTTTATTTGTTTACAAACTGCTGGACAACGAATGTTTTCTCATCGGAGAAAACAAAAATTCGGCCGTTCACCACTTTCGGCCAAGCGAAGCAACTCTTTAGCTCTTTTGAGTCAGTCTATTTTCTTTCTGTTGCGGTGTAAGTTCTTGCACTTTTGGGAATTTCAATGGCTTTACCCCGAACTCATTTTTCAATATTTGCCGAATGGAATATTGCAATATGTTGAGCTCACGAGCCATTTTTCGGCCACTGCGAGGCGAGTTTCGCTTCTTTACTTTTCGAACCATTTCTGCTGATGTTGCTGTTTTCTTGCGTCCATTTCCTTGACGTCGTCGGGCTACGCTACCAGTATCACAGTAACGGGCGATGGTACCAGACACCAAAGATTTATTCACATTTAAATGCTGGATGGATCTAACGATGGCCACTTGTGGTTCTCTAGCCAAATATAAAGAAATCACACTGTCGCGCTTGAATTCCATCACGAATAAAATTTTTTTCTGGAAAATTCTCACCAAAATGCTTTTGTACGCTAGTAAACAATATAATGAGCTGTCACTGAAATAATTTTAACAGCTGCCGGACGTGTGGCTTAGAAATGACAACAGTCTGAAGTTGATTGCCGTTTTTTTTTCATCTCACCCTGTACATCCTATTTGGACTAGTATTACACATATGGGGCACATTAAAATTGAAATCGGACGAAAATATATGTATGGGAGCTATATCTAAATCTGAACCGATATTCATCAAATTTCCCGGGCTTACTTCTGAAATGAACTCAGGTGTGTGTGCTAAAATTTATTTGATTCGGACTGATATTGCGCATTTGGTGCACAATGAAATTGAAATCGAACGAAGGTATATATGGGAGCTATACCCAAATCTGATCGGATTAACACCAATTTCACTAGGGTTCGTTCTGGGGCCAAACAGCTGATTTGTCGATTATTTTATATCAATCAGACAATAAATCCGACCTATACTTTGTTTACGTGGAGGGGAGATGCACACATAGACTCAGAATGTGATTCTAGGAAGATCGCCAAAGGGATTTATGGGTCTATTTCGAGTCCTTCTGTGTGTGACAAACAAAAGCGCCAAGACATAATACCCTGTACCACAGTGTGGCGCAGGCTAGGCTAAACAAGTAAAAAAACCATTAAGTTCGGCCGGGCCAAACTTTTAATACCCTCCACCTTACCCTAAGAAACATTAGAAGAAATGTGGCAAAAACCATTAAAATGCCGAATATCGGGAGGTACCGTTATATGGGGGCTACACCAAAACGTGGACCTATAATTACAATGTTTCGCCACACGAACTAGGACCCTTTATGACCAACAAATACCAATTTTTAGACAAATCCGTGAAAAAATGTGGCAAAAATCATCAAATTACAGAATTTCGGGAGGTACCTTTATATGGGGGCTATATCAAATCATGGACCCATGCATGCAATGTTTCGCCACCGAAGCTGAAACCCATTATGACCAACAAATACCAATTTTCAG